GATCTTAAAGTTCTCATACCCCTTCTCCCAACTTCAGATGAAGCTGCTATTCTGAATTTTGGGTTACTCGTTCCCTCATGTATGTTTTTTAAAATAGTCTTATCTTATATGTATGTATCCTTCTAAAGTTAGGTTTGCTGCTTTTGAACTTTATTATATAAGGGATCATACTATTTACACTCTTCTGTGACTGTTGTTTTTGCTGAACATCATGGCGTATTACTCACTTTCTGCTAAATAGTATTACATTGCATGCATATGCCACCATATATTTGTCCCTTCTCCTGTTGGTGGACATTGAGCTTTTGACTTTTCTGTTACTCTTCCCACCCCCAAACGCTGCAGTGAAGACATGGTACAGCCTAATGGGCCAGAGCTCACCCATCCCAGGAGAAGGGTTGCTTGTCATAGGTAACATCACTGGTTTCCAAAGTGGTGGCATCATATACCTTCTCACCAGCACAGACAGTGATTACTTTGTATTGTTAGACATTCTAATTTTTGCCAATTTGGTGTGTTTGAAATAACAATTTTTTTTGTGGTAATAATTTTCATTTCACTGGTTTTTAATGAGGCTTGGCATCTTTTCATTTGTTTGTGGATATTTATTGTTCTATGAAATGCCTATTACGGCTTGCCCATTTTCTCTGGAGCTGCTTGTCTTTTTCTTGAGGTCTCTCCACTAAAAATAATAGTAATAAGATCTATACAAAGAAAGGTGGAGCAATTTCTGAGACATGTTATTTAGTGGAACCAAAGTGTAGAGTCGAATTATAATATGGTTTGGTACAAACCAGGGGTGTGGATACATACATGCATATTTACACATACATGAAACATTTCTAGAAGGAAACAAAAAACACAGACTGTGGTTGCCTTTGGGGATGAGAACCGAGGGAGGGGGAGTCTGGGAAAGAAGCATACTTTTCACTAGAACCCTTTATTATTATTTCAGTATTTCCCTTTGTTCTATAGATATTACCATTCAAAAACTAATTAAAATTTTTAAAAATAAAGACAAGTGCCCTCTCTCTTGAATATTTCCAAGGCCACTCCATTGTCTCACCTCTCATCATCCCTTTATGTGTGATTTGTTTCTACAGCAAGCAAAGCTGGACGCCCAGCTCCGGGACAAAGAGTTTTATAGGTCTGTCTCCAGTCCCAACCCCAGGCTAGAGGATGGATACCCTGCCTTCAAAAGACCCCTCATGACTACAGCAGCGCTTTTTAACCTTTGTTGCATCTTAGGACAGTCTAGAGGGCTTCCAAAACTCCCTCACCTGTGCCATACCTCATGCCAACTAAATCAGAAGCTCAGAATCCCTGGGAGTGGGCTCCAGGACCCCAAAGTTTCTGGTTCCACAGGGCGGAGTGGGGCCCAGGAACTTACTATT